AGCTTGTGTTCAGTTCATTTTAGCTTGCATTCTGATATTTTTAGCTTGTGTTCAGTTCATTTTAGCTTGCATTCTGATATTTTTAGCTTGTGTTCAGTTCATTTTAGCTTGTATTCTGATATTTTTAGCTTGTGCTCAGTTCATTTTAGCTTGTATTCTGATTATTTTAGCTTGTATTCTGATATTTTTAGCTTGTGTTCAGTTCATTTTAGCTTGTATTCTGATTATTTTAGCTTGTATTCTGATTATTTTAGCTTGTGTTCTGATTATTTTAGCTTGCATTCTGATATTTTTAGCTTGTATTCTGCTCAAATTAGCTTGTGTTAAGCCTGAGTTTCTTTTGTTTTTACTTTAACAACCCAGTTTTGGCTTCTCCAGCAAATTACAATGAAGTCATACAGTACTCAGCATTCACACGGCATTTTCACAGAAAATGCAATTTCCCCCCTCCATCAATCGTTCTCTGTTGTCGGAGTCACGTTTGTTTCTCCTGTTCTTGTGTGTTTCTTTATGTGCAGTTAAAGCTCGTTACCCTCGTGCTGCTCGTTCCATTACAATTAATAGATCATGATTAGAGACTGGCTTTTAACGGGCCAGTGTTGTTTATTGTTTCGTCCCATTTGTCTCTTTTATCTCTGCTGTGGTTTGTGTTGAAGCTACAGAAAGAGCACAACTCTATCTCAGCACCAGCTGCATTTTCATGTCTGCAAAACAAAAGCTCAGACTCTGAATTCGGACTTAAACAGGAGATTAATCATTAATACTTGAAAGCCTAACAAAATATTATTGATGATTATCAATCATCACGTGTCAGAAATACAAAAATCTAAATTTATAATTTAAATCTAACATCCTCAGTGATGTATTTTAAATACAACATTTAATTATTCAAACGCTTCACATCTGTCAGTGAAAGGAAGACGCAAAGGCTGTTGTGATGATGACTCTAATCTTTTCCACTCCAGCAAATTACTAAGAAAACAAGACAAGTTTAGCCAACAGGACAGCACTGTTTAATATTCAGAACAGGCTTTAAAGAAGCTTTAATGGATCTGCGTCTGTTGTAGTGTGTATTTTATATTTTTCCATTTTGTCACTTACTGAACTGTGCTCCAAATCATTTCTCATTCAGTAACTCGTCACAACATACGTTACTAACTACTCTGTATTACTCTAATTATTTATTAACCATATTCATTCACTGGTGATGGTCATTAGCAGCAGTTGGTTCCTCTGCTTAATTAACTGCAAATAAGTCAACCCAAAATATACGTTAAGTTACATTATTATCACCAAATTTATAGTCGAATCTTTCAAGGAATGAGTGTCCATTAATTTGAGACAGTTTTTTTTATTTCCAAATATACAGTTGCAATCAAGTTTACATACACTCATGGACATCTGTGTCATAATGCATATATATATATA